TTGAAGCAGGAAGTAACTAGTTTCATAAGGGTTTGTGTGAGAGAGGTAGACAGTTGACAGGAGGAGACAGAAAAAGGCAAACATTTTCACTTTTGGGATAGCAGTTCTGACAGTGTAAGGTGTTTAGTGTTCTACTAAACAATAGGTCAATACAAAAAGGGGGGTTTGTTGGGGTTTTTTTCGTTGTGATGTCTTCAAGTTATATGCAGAGAAGTATTTGAGCCTTCAAATGTATGCATACCTTTTAAGTGTTCCCTACTCTTGAGTGGGAACACATGGTAAGTAAATGTTTACCAGTTTAAAAATACCTATAATCACATTTCTGTGATCCCAACACACAGAGTAAAATTATTATTATAGCCCTCAAATTTGAAAGTATTAACTTGGTTCTATGGAAATTGCTTTTTACGTGTTCTTCTTCCTTTTTTCAGGTCTTTGTTAATCAGTGGCTGAGATTTGAGTTTGTAGTTTTGTAGCACAAAACCCAGCCTAGACTGAATTGGGCCTTTTTTTAGATCTGTCATTAATTTTTTTTTTAAATCTAGGAATGTAATGACAGGGTTCATTTATAAGCTGATAGATGTTACAGTTTTTGATTTTACTTTTTCCCTTTGCAAGCACGAAGCCCATGCCAGTTTTCCATTTGACAAAGGTAATTTAGAACTTTTTACAGAATGCCCAGGTACGTTTTCTGAGATGGGTGTTACACTGAGGCAGGATAACACTCACAGCAATTTCCAGGTAGGATGCTGAAAGTTCCAGGGATTTACAAGCAGAGTATTTTGCTCCTGGGTGTGCCTGAAGCAGTGCAGCCGTGAGTGAAAGTCGCAGCTCTCTGGCAGCTGCAGAATGACCCGGGTGAGGTGAGTCAGTGACATCAAACCGAGTCTGCACCAATATCCTCCTTGCAGCTGGTGCTACTTGGCACCCCTGGTGGAGTCTCAGCAGAGAATCAAAGCACCAGGTTGTTCTCCTTGTTTGATGTGCAGTGGCAAGAGTTAGCTGAGAAACTTTTTTTTTTCCGGTTCTCTCGAAGAAACCATTAATTCTGGTTGAGTAGGAGGTGGTTTTCACTGTTGACACGTCGTCATCATGGCTTTCTATGTATTCATACATAGAATTTGTAAGTGGAGCAACAGTGAAAGATCAAGAGCAAGTATTATTATTTAAACATAAAAAAATGCTAAAGCACCATCAAAGCATAATCACACATTTCTGTGAAATTGCTGGAATGATTGATGTCACATCAGTCTCTGTGACAATGGAGAAAAATTAGATGAGAGAAAAGATTTTGTTTATTTTGTAGAAGCTATGTTCAGATTTAATTTTTCCCTGTGTTTATCCCTCTCAACTTAGTAAAATAAAAAATAAATATTTTTATAAAGGGATGTAAAAACCAAAGATTAACTGAAATCTGTAGAGCCTGAAATACTTTAGGAGACTTTGAACTCTTTGTCATTCTACTCTTTCATATAGTTGAGAAGTGTGGATGGAGTGCTGTCTAGCAGAATTACTGTGCTATGTGTCATAGTAAAATATAATAAAATACTGTGTAATGACCTGAACAAAGGGCCCTGAACCCAACATTCTGTTTGTTTTCCAACTGTGTTATTTTCCAAGGATTCTGCAAGCTTTTGAAGTTGCTGTGCAAGAAAATGTATTAAGGCCCCAACGACGTATGTAGCAGCTGAAATAACTTTTTGTTCTTCATAAAATGGGCTGTTTTGTCCATGTTCCCAGTGTTCTTTTAAAACCTTAGATAATGTTTTCTTGTAGAATGTCAAGATTAATAAAGAGGGAGTGAGCATGTTGAATATATTGAGAAGTTAGAGATTGCTTGTCTGTAGCAGTTGGGAATTTATCAAACAATTACCATGCTATTACCCCATACAGACACACCCCAAATGAGAGCTAACATGACAGGAATTTTCTGCTTTTTTACATCCTCAGACCATAATCTCTGAAATTGTCTTAGATTTCTGCATTGGTATCTTCAAGTCATTAAATATTAAACCCTGCAAATTTTGTTTCTCCATTTATAAGAGGGAAGCTAAAAGCTCTTCGCAGTTGTTTTCCATTTCTAAAATATTCTGAATATGTAAAGTGCTGTTCAAGTACTAAGTTTAAATATTTTCTCCTAAGCAAGACAATTGGATTTAGTTAAATTGTAACCTTCAAAGATTGCCTAAAATGATTACAATGCTCTCTATAACAGATTTTCACCCTCGGTAAGTGTGGTCATAGAACATAAATCTTCTTTTGCCCAAAGAAAACACTAGAGAAAAAGAAGGTGGAATGAATTCTGCATACCTGGGTAGAGCAGAAGGCATGTGACTCTAGGAAATAGAAATTTTTTTTTCAACGTAGTTTATTATTTAACAGTTTATCATTTATTATTTATTTGAGGTTATTCTGTAAAGCGAGTTTACAGATGATGTAAATAAAAACCTGAAGGCAAAAGGAAGTTGAGGCTAAAGTAGGAATTTTTAGAGAAAATCATGTGTGTAAGAGGCAGTTTTTATTTGGACATAGGCATAAAGAGTGGTAGGCTAGAAAAGAGTTTTATTATGTTCTAATATGTGTTCTGAATGCTTGGTAAAATATTTTCCTTTAAGTAAATGTGTCATACTTATAATCTAATAGATTAGTCCTTGTCATCATTATCATCATTGTTACTATCCTGTCTAAAAAAGAGTTGATATTTGTATTTCCTTTCATAAGGTAATAAATCTTTCATAGTTGTGTACTTGGTTTGATTAATTGAAGTGTATGAGATAGCCAAGATGCTTAAAATTGTGTCTTCTGTTCCACAGAGAAACAGGAATTCAGAGAACTGGCCTGACCATTGCGATATAGTCGTTATAAACTCATAAAAACCATCTGGTTTTAGTAAGGAATTATATTCACCAAGATGCCTATATGCACTATTGGTACACACAAGGCAGTGTATAACAAAACACCTTATGTACAGAAGCTATAATTTCACACAGCTGAAAGTATGACATCAAAATGTCAGCCTAATTATCTTTCAATCTCCAAAACATTTGCAAACTCCAAAATATTTTCCAGCTGAAGCATCTCTCTACCGAAGAGTAAATTTCAACTTACTTCAAATATTCTTCTTTTTTAATTAGGTTTTTCTAATCACAAAGGTTTGGCAGGCCACAGATCAAAAGCTGTCCTGAACATCTTAGTTATCCACATGCCTGTGACCGTTTTAAAGAAATGTAATAAAACGTCTCGCAATAAATAAATATTTTTCAGAATAATTTTTCAGATATGTTGGTAACACAGTAGAGCACTAGTTCAGAGCTGCTGACATGGAGTACTGTCTACTGGGCAACCAGACAATGGCAATTTACCTTTTTTCCTAGGTCTCGTTTATTTTCGTGTCCCACATATGGAATTTTAAAGTTCATTCATTTGCATGAACCATAAAGTTAGAAACACTGCCCAGCTGGAAAAAGTGCTACAGATTTTCAAGAAAATTCCTCTCATTGTATTGAGGGGAAATACAATCTCAAAACTATAACTATGTAGCTTAAATTGGTTTAAATATGTTAAGTGGATCATTGTGCTTTTCAGGAACTGTCAGTTCTTATTAAGCTGAGTAGATGTATTCAGTTATGTGCTGGACAGTAATCAATTCGAAATTGTGTGTGTGATCATGATATCCCTCATGGAATTTGTTCATTCACACTGTTTCCTGGGTTTTGTGCTACGTTCAGTAGTTCTGCTCTAACGAGGAGAACATTGTGGGGCTGAACGTTCTTCCATATGGTTGGGCTTATAATGTCTTCTTTTTAAAGGAACTGTTTCTCTCCACTGGAAGCAGTGGCTTCTTGGTAGAGACAGAAATATGTTGTATTTTGCAGGTACTGCTTAAAAATGCAGCAACACGTTGGCTAATCTTTTCAAATCTGTAAAATTCATTGAGATTTTGAGAGGCAGATAAAATACGTAATTGTAAGTCACCTTATATGTAAGCAAAAATCAAAAATCCAGGTTTAGACACTCAAGAAGTCATTGGACACCTCAGAGATCGTAGAGTCACAGAATATCCTGAGTTGGAAGGGACCCACAAGGATCATCAAAGTCCAACTCCTGACCCTGCCCCGAACAGCCCCAAGTGTCACCCCATGTGCCTGAGAGCATTGTCCAAACACTTCTTGAGCCCTGTCAGCCTTGGTGCTGTGACCACTGCCCTGGGGAGCCTGTTCCCAGTGCCCAACCACCCTCAGTGCAGTTGGACACTGGAACATGTGGGGAAGCAGATTTGTCATCTTCTCCCTTGCCATGCCACTTTTCTGTCTCGTTATGGGAATATTAAGCAAGAACCATTTTAAATCTAAGAAAGAACACTAAGCACAAAAGGGCATGTAAAACTACTCTCCCTAGTGATTAGGTGCCTGAATGCAAACTACACTGAAGTGTTTTTCCCTGCTTATGATCCAGTGCACCTCATTTGCCCATTTATTTTTAAAATGGCAAATACCACTAAGAAGGTGTTTGTCCTGTGGCAGGAACTTGGGATGTTTTCCCTGGTAGGTACATAATAACCACAAGGTTGTGCAGTTCTGTTCCATCTTATCTGCTTCTCTAGGTCCAATATATGTTCCTTCTTTTTTTAGACTTTGTGCTCACTTGACTGAGGGCCTTGCTTAGCAGGGCAGATACCTTGGTGGTCAGGGCATTCCTACCGAAAGGTGTCCTTTGAGTTCCTGCATACTGAAAACATTAAATTTTAATCAGATTTCCATTTTTTTTGAGATCAAACAGGAAGGGAGTAAAGAGTTAAAGAAGCTCAAGTAGTCACTGAGGGGTGGTTTGGACCAGTTTTCAATGTTGGTATATGAAAAGTACATGAACTATTACTTTGAGAATAGCCCTATTGCTTCTGAGGCAGGTTGAGTGCTATTATCTAATTCCTGCTATGTAAGGGGGAGAGACTGTGTTGTTATAATTAAACTCAAAGCTATTTATTTGTTACTTTCTTACAGGAAACAGATTCAACCTCTTCTAGGACAGTTTAGCCAGTCAGAGGCTTTGTTACTCTCGTCTGGGGTTGAGCCAGGGACTCTGGATGGAGTTCTCCTGGATGCTGGCTGTTCTTCCATGCAATTTGATACACCCGAAAGAGGTTTTTCCCTGCAGAAGGATGGACCTTTGGACATGAGGATGGATAGTGACAGGTACCTGATAATATTTCTTCTTGAAACTCAAAAACTGTCTGCTCAGCAACCCCTGTGCATTTCATTTCCCTTTGAACTGAAGAATTCCCATCATCAAACCACATCCAGTTTTGCACGAGTATACTTTTTTTCTTTTCCCAAAAAGCTTTTTTCTGTCTCAGTGCTCAGCCCTGGTTATTGTCTTTGCCTCCTTTGAAATAAGGGGAAAGTTCCCGTGATGAGTAATTAAACCAGTAACATTTTTGTGTACCTCTGCCATTGAATTTTAACATTTTTGGAGTGTATGATATACAGTCACAGGGACATCTCCCTTTCAGAGGCCTGTTATTTCCACAGTTTCTCAGCCTGTACTTGATCTGCAGGCACACAACTTCTTACTGCAGTCCCTTTCCTGCCACGCTTACTGTTTGTGGAAACTTCACTGGAGCAGTTTCAGTTGCTTCCTCAGGAAAGGGGCAGTGTCCTTCTTTTGTGCAATGACCATCTTACCCAGTTGCTTCTCTCTAAAAGGAATGCAATCTAAAATAAATAAATAAACAAACCCCTATCTATTATATCTGCCATTTTAAATCAGATTGCTACATTGCTTTTAGCACGCTAGTATAATGTTGTTTTCCCTGCCCATAGATTTATTGTAAGCTTCCCTTAGCAAAATCATAAGCTTCCTTTCACATTGTGTGGGAGGCACATCAGGTTTACTTAATTGTCAAATTAACGATTACTGAATAAACCACCTGTGTTTAAACTATTTGGACTGGTATTAAGTACTTTCAAGAGCATGAAAATCAGTGGTGGAATGATAATTTCTACTTATGCAGTGGTTATCGTTTTCAAACAAGCTGATGTATTTCTGAAGCATTTTGCTTTTTACATGAGCAACCAAAGATCTCTCTTGTATAGATGCTGGTTGTTATTGCATGATGCAATACTGGGAGAATGACAGGGTTTTTTCTTGGTGTTTTAATGGACCTGGAGTCTTAAGAAGTGCCGTTTGCTTTTTTCATTGCTCACAGAGAGCCAATGGGAAGCCCCAATTTCTAAGGAATTGGCTTACCACGTTAATGTTATGTCTTAACGCAGCAAATTTCATGACACTTGCTTTTTCTGGTTTTGTGCAAAAATGCTCCCGTGATCCTCCTGGGATTCAGTCCTCAGACTTCAAGAATCTGAACTCCAGGCTTAAATATAAGCCTGATGCATCATGAGAAAACATACATTGAACACGAGCATAAGAACAAAGGGTACCTGAGGCATAACAAAAGCCTTACACTATGGTTGTTGCTATGATACTACTTTGCCTCTAAGTTTTGTTATCTTTTGTAAGATACTGCAGGGGAGTAAAAAATGCCTGAAAAATTTTCTGCTAAATCATGTCTTTTTAGAAGAGAATTTATTAAGTGGTTTATATGTTTCGTCTGATTAGTAAACCCATAGATGATGTTCATAAAATACCTTGGAACTATTTCAATAGCAAAGTTAAAGAGATTTCAATATATAGATGTGAAGATTATACTGTTTAAATTGCAGTAATTCCTGTAATTTTTATAGGTCATTTCTATTATATCAGAACAGTACGTGGATATAAATTCTTACGCCTTTTAGTGAAAAGTAAGATTTAATTATTTTCATTAGCAATTGTTTTCATAGCAGGAGATGTGAAAGAAAAGGTCCTTGAAATCAGTTCTAACTAGAAAACAACATACGATGCAAGGTGACTAAAATGAACCCGTAAGAGGCCAGTTTATATTCTAAAGCTGGCTGAAGAAAAAGGTCACACAGCATTTCCATCTTAGCACGATACTGAAATATTCTTGTCACCTTATTAAACGTAGTTCATGATAATACTTGGAAGTTAAAGCCATTCTAATTGAAGTTAAGGAACAAACTCCATTTGGAGCGGCACGGAAAAAAAAAAAGGATTTAAAAGGTGCAAGCTGTTTTTCCCAGGGTTGCCACCTCCTATTCGAAAACCTCAAAGGCACTTGTGTGCCGTGTGTGTGTGTGTGTGTGTGTGTTTGACTTCATGTCCCAACGCTGTGAAGCTTCACCCCTTGTCAATGAAGGCTGACGTCAGTGGGCTAATTGGCCGCTCTCGTGCGTAGGTGCCCTGCCATGCCCACTGCCGCCGATGTTGTGAACGCGCTGGATCAACAGGCGCTTGCGTCCATCCTCAGGGCGTACGGGGAGGAGAGGCACGCCAAGAAAATCGCCTCGGCCATCGTGCAGGCACGCAGCATATACCCCATCACCAGAACCCAGCAGCTTGCAAGCATCGTTGCAGGTACCCTCATTAATTCTCCGCAGCGGCCGAGGAGAGGGGGAAAAAAAGAAAAAAATATTAATCCCCGAGTCCCAGAGGGATCTATTTGTACTTGAAATCATGCAGGATCTAATCCTGCCTGTTCTGCTCTGATGTCAGCTCTCTTTTTCTTTTTTTTTTTTGTATTGTGGTTTGACAATTAGTTTAATAATAGATTTTACATGAAGTGATTTATCATTTTGCCAACGAAGTTGAACCACAGAATGACAGCAGCCTAGGGTATTCTTTATCCTGGCTGTTGACAAACCTTCAAATACCAGATATGTCATACCTCATTTAGCTTTAAATTTCTGCATTTTAATATTTTGAGGGGAGGTACCAAAGCAGTTTCCAATTATGAGTGAAATCAAGTGATTTCTGTCTTTTTAAAGGATCAGAAGCACAAAGCAAAGCAATACATGGCTTGCTTCACCTTGTGCATGTCAACTAAATCAGCCTGAAGCGACTATTGAAACACTCCATCTTACTTGCTCCTCACTGTAAACAACTTGAACAAAATGCAGTTAGGCAGGAACAGTGCTTGCATCAAGAACCTTCACGTTTGTGTTGTCAAGTGAAAATTTTCAAGGAAAAATGTAAGACACAAATCCTGCTCATTAACACTCTAATGCATAATGTCAGGATGTTTGTTTCTTTTTAACCAATTAATGAAAATCACTGGATCTCATCACACATAAGTCTAAATTGCTGACTTTCAATATAGACCTTTAAAATGATAATCCAAATTTAACATTTGCTTAAGAACAGTGTAAAATATTTTATAAGTATCCTGAAGAGTCCTAAAAAATTTACTGTATTCTTAAAAATTAGTGTTACTTAAGCTGGAAGTTTAAGGCACTTACTTTTAATGACCAACAAATTAAAAGGTTTGGATTTGTAGAAGTCAGGGCACTTTAACAAAATGTCCAGTCAACTGAGTCCCAAAGTTTGGCTGATATGATGAAAGGATCTGAAGACACTGCTTGCTGTTGGAAGCCCCTACTGTAAATACAGTAAATATGAGGAGTAAATACAGTAAATATGATTTTAAAAAAAACAAAGAGATAAAACACTATGAGTCTTTTATAAAGCTTACGTTTTTAACATCATCATTATCAACCTCACAAAATAGTAATTTGAGGCTTTATCATGTGTCTCTTATGCTTTTTGAAAAACTTGATTAAGACAGCATACCATTATTGAGATTGAAGCAACCACATCGCTGTGTTAAAGATGTCATGTGTTATACATTGTAAGCAAGCCACTCAGTAACTTCTGAAACTAGTGTATAAAAGACAGTGATTAAAGATCCCTTCATGTTTAATGTGGTGCATGTGAGTCATCACTTAATGGTCACTTTCTGTGACAATGAGAAGGACTTTTTTGTTCTCATTTTAAATTCTCTGCTATATTTGAAGAGCTTCCTGATACATTAGTCATGTATGCATCAGGTAGGGTACATGCCAGAAACAGTGAATCCAGCACACATCTACCAAGACAATAAATATATATGTTTTGTCTGCTTTTTTTGGAGTATGCAAGTCATTATAGTAATTTTAGGGTTGTTACACTGATCCCTGTTTGCATAGAACTTCTTCCAAATTTAGTTTGATTCATCCAGCAAAGGAGAACAATGGTGATTGTATCTGGTTTTGAACTGATTATACCTTAACAAAATTTTTGATAACTGTAATGTATTTTGATTAATTTCATCTATCATCCATATATATGCTTATGTGAAATTATTGACATAAACAAGAGCTGAAGTACCAGAGACCACAGCTACAGGAACCTCTCAGTGGCACAGCCCAAAAAAACCCTGACTAATTCAGGACTTAACCAGAATAAAATTTATGACCTATTAGTTAAATGTCACGTCCTTTAAAAAATAAGATATTAATTAGAATAATAAAATCTTGCATTTTGGATTTTGCAGATTCTGTGCAAGCCTGATCGTCTTCCAGGACAGGGTCATTATTTTTGCCTATATAGGAATTGGAAAACAAGCAAAAAGTCTATCCAGTGAAGCTGGCTATTTATGTCTTCTTCTCTGGTGGTGTCAGAATCTGATATTTATGTATTGTGCATATTTCTTTCACGTGTGGCTTCAGATTTTCTAGAGCTCCCCAGTTTTTGTCTTAAGGTCCAGCCAATAACCAGAATCACAGTGAATCTAGATTTGGACTAACCCGAAATTGGAAAATTTAATTTCTTTTTATAGAATGCTAGATTTCTGGTCTTTCCTACCACCCCCCAAGAGGTTAGAACGTGTGTTGCTGTTGCTAATTGATTGGGAGATAAAAGTGGAGGATGTAGTTAAAAAAATCCACAAAACAGGCATACAAACCAGCTGCACAACAGTCACAGAGCAATCAGATATTTCTAAAGTTTGTATTAGCAAGAGTTCTACTTGTAAGGTATAGCTGTGAAAAATATATAACTAGATTTGTATGTCAAGATTGACTACAACAATTTGGGGCTAACTCAGGTATCCAAGTGATTTCTTGCTGTCCTTTGTTCCAATTCAAGAAAATAATTCTTTCTATATCTTGTCATAGCACCTGAAAATTCTCTCTCTGTCTACATCCTATGCCAGTGCATAAGGTCCTGAAAAAAGAAATTTAAAATTTGGCTTTTTTGTTTTAATTTTTCCAAGTGTTCTCCAGAAGGCTTCTGATCCATTTAAATAAGATCTCTGCGAGCTGTGGAGTCTGCAGTTTACGTGTGAGAAAGGAGGAGTTTTCTGTTCACTCACGTGAACAGCATCTCTTCTGCAGCACAGTGGAGCTCTGCTGGCTGTTTATAATTTCCACAAAGCTCTCTGCAATGCTGAACGCTCTGTAAATACTAAAGAGCAGCAGTTCTCCACTGAAGGGCAGCGAATCGATGTGTGGAAGTTGATTATGAAGGGCTTGCTGAGGTCTTTTGTTGTACCTCATTGAGTTATTTGAAAACAATAGGTTTAACTCCGTGTGCAGAAAAACTTTAAAAATAGTAAAATTTTTCAAATGTAATTTTGATATGCTTTTCCTGTACAACTGATGATCTATTTTGATTTCTTTTCAGTGAGCAACGTACTTTGTTATCTATTAACTTTTGTCCAAAAATTAATTTTTCTGAACATTGTTTAGATACCTAATCTATTAACAGATCATTTTGAGATCATGTCATCATTTGACCTTAGCTTGAAAGGAATTCATGATGAGATACTAAAGAATTTTATAAAGTTTAAAAAGAACTTTAATGTTTAAAGTCAGTCTCATTCAGACTGGTTCACATTTATAGACTTTAATTATCAGTTTGGAATTTGTAATATTGCCTGAATTTCAGATGGGTGAGAATTAACACTGTACTGAGGGAGCCCAGACAAAAGGACATTAGTTGCGTCACAGAAACTTATTAAATGCAATGCTAATTCAACAGACGAATTCCTGCAAACAGGTGCACGGTCTGAATTAATTTTTAAACTCTCCCACTCTCATACACTCTGGGGACTTTAATAGTTCATATTGACAGGCACAGCATGTTGCTAATTTCATTCACAAGCTTTTGAAATTTCAATACATTTCAACATGTATTAGATTTTTAAAAGTGTAAGTATCATCAAGGCATCCTAAAACTAAAAATGATAATTTCTCTCACTGGAATTTCAAACCAGTCATCTAGCCAGAAGCGTGATGTTTTTATGAATGAAATTCATTTTACAAACTTCCCATAGAGATTTTTTTTTTGAATGTTTTTGTACATTGTACAGCCAGTTACCAGGAAGGATTTTCTTTTAGTGTCTTGGTAATTGGAGAGGGCTAGGTGAGAGATATTATACCTTAGCAGAAAGCATAAATAACTTTTTATTTGACTATACCAGAGGAGTAAGAGTGATAGGAAAATTTTTCACCTGTGGATCATAGATCAAAATCCACTGCCTTTACTAAAATGATGAAGGCCAGAGTGACAGGAATAACTACCACAGATTACATTTATTAGTTAATCCCAGTCTCTGACCACAGACTAGTAAATCTTTGAACTTGTAAATAGTTTGATTTTTAGTTTAGAGGATTTACTTGCATAAAGCCGCAAAAAGTGACTGTATTTCTTTACAAATTTCCTGAATATTAATATTCTGTACTGTTAAATATGACCTGCAGTGCTCTTTGTGCATGTCCAACTGAGGCATGTAAGGTTGTATGATACTTACTGAATATATCTGGGTTTCAATTTATTTTTTTTTTCAGTTTGTGATAAATTAACTCGCAGTAGTAAATTAATGTCTCAGTTAATTGTCATAGAAGATTATTGCAGGAAGACAGTGTACTCAACAGCCATGGCAGGATAAGTGGAAGAACTTCCCAAAGACCTGTTAGTGTCCTAGTCGTGCTGGTAGCCTCTGTATCGTTGTTCTTTTGTTTATCTATGCAGTGTTTCAACTGCAAAATAAGGGTGTTTGTGATCAGACTGATGGAAATCTGCCCAGATATCAGCATGCTGTGTCCGTTTATGTTTTTACAAAACCCTTTGAAGTAGATCATAGCATCATAGAATGCTTTGGGTTGGAAGGGACCTTAAAGGTCATCAAGTTTCAGCCCCCATGCCGTGTGCAGGGACGCCTTTCACTACATCAGGTTGCTTAAAGCCCCATCCAGCCTGGCCTTAACATTTCCAGGAGTGGGGCTTCCACAGCTTCTCTGGGCAACCTGTTCCAGTGCTTCAGCATGCTCTCAGTGAAGAATTTCTTCTTGATATCTAATCTAAACCTACTCTCTTTCAATTTGAAGCCACTCCCCCTTGTCCTGTCACTGCATGCCCTTGTAAAAAGTCCCTCTCCAGCTCTCATGTAACCCCCTTATGTACTGGAAAGCTGCTGGAAGGTCATCCTGGAGCCTTCTCCAGGTTGAACAACCCCAAGTCTTTCTATCTGTCTTCATAGGATGCCCTCTGAGCATCTTCATGGCCTCCTCTGGACGTGCTCCAGCAGGCCCCTGTCCCCAGAGCTGGATGCAGTGTTCTGGGTGGGATCTCACCAGAGCAGAGGAGCAGAATTCCCTCCCTCCACCTGCTGCCCACGGTGCTTTGGATGCAGCCCAGGGCACATTTGACTTTTTGGGCTGCGAGTGCACATTGCCAGGTCATGTCAAGCTTCTCATCCACCAACATGTCCAGGTCTTTCTCCTCAGGACTGTTCTCAATCCATTCGCTGCCCAGCCGTCGTTTGTGCTTGGGTTGGCTCCAACCCAAGGGCAGGGCCTTGCTCTTGGCCTTGTTGAACTTCATGAGGCTCCCACGGGCCCATCTCAGGCTTGTCAAGGTCCATCCAGGTGTCATTCCTTCACTCCAGCATGTCAACCCCTGCCCACAGCTCAGTGGTGTTGTCAGACTTGCTGAGGCTACACTCAATGCCACTGTCCATGTGACCACCAGAGGTGTTAAACAGTGCCAGTCCCTGCACTGACCCCCTGAGGGATGCCTCTTATCACCAGTCTCCACTTGGATACTGAGACATTGACTGCAACTGTTCTCAGTGTGACCATCCAACCAATCTCATGTGCTCCAAGTGGTCTGTCCATCAAATCTGTGTCTCTCCAGTTTAGAGACAAGGATGTCATATATCTTCATATCATTCTTGTTTTTTTCAGATGAGTAAAAGATGCTTTACTGACATAGGAGGTAAAACTCTCAGTATTTTACTAAAACTCCTGAGAGATTGGCTGTGGAGATTTAAACAGAGGATCTCATTCCAGGTTTCTGTTTTTATGGTTGGGTCCCAGTCAAGAAGCACTGTCAGTTTTGTACCTAAATTACATGCTGTACTCTTGTGGATTAGCTCCATTTTTATCTGTGATACTTTTGGAAGCTAAAATACTCTTAGAATATCAGAAATGGATCATCCCCAGAAAACCAGCAGTATTTTTAGAAAATACTTAGACTGCTAAAATATGGTGGTTAAAAATTCTGGATCTGCTTTGAGAGGTGAACACCAGCTCTGGGTAGTAAGAGTCCAAAATTGAATGTATAAAACCAATGCTCTTTAAGTCACAGCTGTAAATTGTTCGGGACGGGGCAGGATCAATACAGGTAGAATCAAAAAACACACCTTGTTTTCTAACCCACTAGCTTGGTAGTAGCCAATATTTTGTAAAGGTAACAATACTTTTTCGTTGCAGTTAAAACTGTTTTTGTAGACTGAACATGACAGGAGTGGTCTTTTAAACCTTGTTGTTTCATTTAATGGTTGTTCAGAGAGTTCTGAGCGTACTACTGGTGTTTGTAGCTGTTATTCGACCCTTTAAAGAAAGTTGTGTTTATTTTGCTTAGCACAGCATTCCTTTATGTTATGCACTAAGAGACAGTTTTCGTCACACACAACTGGCAGTCAAGGGATGTTTTAAGGGTTCCATTTTCAAAGAATCTATTTATAGGTTTGTAAAGAAATACGAAAACAGATACTGTGCATGTTCATGCAAGCTTGGTGTCAGTGTGTTTCTTGGGACACCTTACTTCCTGTGATTTTGAGTCCTCTTTTGAGTTTAGCTCTCTTGTCAAAATGGGCTTTGTGACTCCTACAAGAAGAGTATGTATTCATTTTTATGATTTATAGTAAATATAGAAGGTTATGTTCTCAAAGACAGAAATTACATTAACTAGCTAGTGCAACTTTTCCAGAGTTTGTAAATGATGGAGAAGCCTGTCTCCCACAGGTAACATCTATTTACTCTGTTTTGTGAAACAGTTTAAAGCCACAAATTCCCTCCCATGCAGTAGTTTGTTGGGAGAAGTTGATCCTGTTGCCACTTTCTATCTCAAAAGATTCAGACTATAAGAATAGGAAGCAGCCACAGCTACAATGAATCTCTTCAGTGAATTTAGGAGCTGTTAGTGTTGAAGTCAGAGGGGGTTGGTAATGTAGTTGGGAAAATCAAGTATGCAGAAACATATCTTAGATACGTTGCCAGCATGATAACAACTTTGTTAATGATCAAACTTTTAAATCCCATTATTATCCTGTCCCTTTGCTGAACACTAAGATCACTTGTGTGTTTGTGATACCAGGCGCTTATGCTTTCTGACATCAGTAAAACCTTGCCTTTAAAACTCTCAGGAATTCCACTAATAAATTATTTTGTGCCAACATATTGGATTATGATATCTCTATTAATTTTTTTCAATCACCTGTGTAAATGTGAATTTAGACAGCTAGTTGCAGAGGTACAATGTTCCCTTCTTTTACTCCACCATGTAGAATATCAATTACTTGATTATGAACTGCATTTACTTGCTTCACTATGTCAGCTTAACACTGACATGAAATTTAATACATATATACCAGCTGTATTGCCTTGTCTTTAATGGGCCCTCTTGTTTGGATAAATAATTCTTTCCATTATGTACCAGCATTATTCATTCAATTTATCTTTACCAGACTCCTGTGCTCACTTACATAATAGATTATAAATTTACTCAGCTTTTGCAGATCTTGTAAAATTCTTGCACTTTAGTCCCTCTGATCCATCAAATCAGGTTTCTCTAGCTTTTTGCTCTGTACTCATGTAATGAAAGTTCAAGCCTAAAATATATTAAATATTGATATAATAAAGTTTCTATCAAAATTTCAGTCTCTACAGAGACTTGTTTAACTCATAAGAATTTTGGGGAAAGGAAGACGGAGTTTTGTGCATCTAATAAAAAAGTATTTAATCTGGTGATTTTTCATCTGACAAATCCATACCTTGACACATTCTGCATGTGAAAATGCAACAGTATCAGCAACATTTGCTAAAGTTCTCGAAGTATTTTTGTGAACATTTGAAGAAACACAAGAGTAGTGGTCAACAATCATTATTCCCAAGCAAGGGATGCCTCTTTTAAGCTTTAAGTAATTCATCGAAACATAGTTATTGCCAGGTAGACATTGTCTTCACTTATCTCTGCCTGTGAAGAAATACTTGCTTATCTAGAAAGCAACAGTTAAAATTGTGTCCATTGTGTATTAATTTTTTTTCCTTAAAAGCATAACACAGCCACAAATACGGAACTGACATTGATTACACTGAGCTGTAAGGTGAGACTTATCTAGCCTGTCTTCTTTTTTCCCTTATCTTGATTTCAGCCATCATTTTGTATTTTAAAGTTGTGATGCATTTGGAGAAGCAATTTCTATAAAAGATTCTAGGGAAAAAAACCCCAACACTTAACCATAAGCCAGCATGTTGTAATAGGGTTTACATTCAGAGATGTGAATTCTAAGTAGAAAACAGTAATGTATGTTACAAACAAGGGAGCTCACCACTCAGAGTTTTTAAGTATGCTTTTCTTTAAAGTCATCATGCATGAGTGGATTAATATCAAGTGCATAGGTGTCCAGATGTAGAAATAATAAGGTGCTAACATCTACCTTTTAAAATTTGTGTCAGGTGCTTTTCCAGCATCAGCACTGTACGCACGGAAGGATTTGCTTCAGAGACCCGCGCACGTCGCTACCAAAACTTTCCAAGGCCTGCGAATATTTGTCAATGATGAGCTCCACGAACTCTTCATAGGACTGAAGACAGCTGAGAAGTTTCTGAAACCCGGAGGTCGCCTCGTAGCCCTCTCCTTTCATTCGCTGGAAGATCGTATTATCAAACGTTTTCTTCGTGGGATAGACATGACAGAGAAGTACAATCTTAGCTCAAGGCAGAAGATAAGGCAGGCTCTGAAAAATCCCTCCAAAAAAGAAGACACACGAGAATCTCCCCATGGAAAATCCAACTCCAAGTGGATTTTTATACAGAAAAAAGTTCTCACACCCCAGGCCAAGGATGTTCAAACAAACCCGAGAGGAAGGTCGGCCAAGCTAAGAGCTGCTATTAAAGTCTAAAACAAAATATATGATTAGATAATTGTATAATTTCCTGTAATTTTTTTTTTCTGGAAGGCTAACTGGACAGGTAGTATCAAACTGAAAAAATAAAATGAAGGCTGTTAGAAAACATTTCTTTCTTACCTTTGTGTTGTTTTTAACTAGAATGTAGTATAGAGCATCAAAATGCAAAACAGATGGGTATCAGTGGGTGTCACTAATCATAAAAAAATAAACGTCTTTTTTTAAAAGAGCATCAAATGTAAAGGTTGTAAAAATTGCAGGTTTGATGTATTTGTAGTACTCCCTTTAGATTACATTCAAAACCCCGACATTAACTGTCTAAATTCAGTAGCTAATTGGGACAGACACATTTTTAATGGGGGTGGATTTCACACACCTAATTCAGATGTCTGGTCCAGTCTAGAGTAAGTTTAAAGCAAGCTAAGAATTCGTGATATATATGTCTCTGTATCCCAACTGACTTGTTGCATGAATGCCTATGGGAAAAGAGCTAGTTCTGAAATAAAGTGACATCAGGATGTCATGTTCTATCCAGGAGTTTGTAAATGGGCTTTTCTGAGAGATCACCTGGTTGTTTAATGATTAAGAATTCTAAATAATAAATATATCTTGATGGAAGAAAAGATACTTAGCAGACCACTTGTTGGCACTTGGACACTCAATCAAGCAGTCGAATTTGTACTTGATCATCTGAATTTCTTCCTGTAACCATAAATTCTGTGCATAGATCCAGTACAACTTTTAGGTGCTGATAGAATTATAATTAACTTTTCAAAAAAAGGGGGGTATTGTGGTCTTATGAAGTATTCTTCTTTGCTGTTGATCATTTTTTAAGAGGTTCTACTGAGGTAAGTATTGAATTATTTTAGACAAGACCCACTCTAACACCAGCTTTCAACTTGGGTGCTACACTAGGTAGTAGAACATGTAACATAATTTCTTTTTTATTAAGTTAATATGAATTACATTTAGCTTTTATATTTTCTTATAAGACCATTGGTTTGCTTGTTTTATATGCTAAAAAAATAAATGGAAAATTGTATAAGTTGCAAATTCTTTGACCTCTGACTTCTTCAGGAAAAAGTCTTAATTTGAGTAATCAAATTGGTACCAGGATTTTATTTGTGGTGAGTCTGCAGCTTGGTTGGTAGAATAAAAAAGTGCAATTTCTGACTCAGCTAAATGACTACTACACACACCAGCTTCTGAAAGATAACTGACTGGATCATTTTGGACTTGATTTTCATCAAGCATCCTCTTTAGATCGGTGTAAATTATTACTTCACAGGAGTTTTTTGGGTCATATTGACACAAACAAGTTGAAATTTAGGTTCACTGTCTGTAATATACGATATATTGAAATAGCTGGATATTGTTTAATTCCTTGGTAAAGCTAAGTCTTATAATGTATTCTTAGTTGATAACATCTATCACTAATCTCAAATAGAAGTCAAATGATGATAGGCATTTCATACTCTTCTGAAATCTCAATATTTTCCCACTAGTTTCATTATACATGCTATTAAATATTAAATAAAACATTCCACTTCAAATAATATTACTTACTGTTGTCATCTTTGAGACAACAGCCTGTACCCTAAATAGACATTTTTTCATCCAAACATTAAATATAAATAGCTAATGTTATTTTTAGCCAAGATTTCATACTGAGAGGTATTTCAATTGTAGATTTGAAAAATTGTGCCTCCAACACAGGCTTAGAAGAGTTGTAGTGCCATGCTGTGCGTTGTTCAGGAACACGCCTCAGGAAAAGACCATCCAGTTGCAGCAGAAGTTGAGTATTAGTGTCTCAAACATTATATTGGAAGTATTAAAATTCCTTACACTTAAAACAATGTTTGAAACCCACACTTCTCACATCTAAATTCAAAAGCACAGTTGCTTATGGTAGTGGAACTGCTGTATTACCAGGCTGTGTAGATGCACTCCCTCAGTTTGGGAGTTTGCCTTTAGCTTGGAGTTGCCTTTAGCTTGGATGGCAGCGTATCCTTTGTTGAGCTTTTCTCTTTGGAGAGTCTGTTGCTCTCCTCTCAGCTTCTCCTCACCTTCAGCTTTAAAGCTGAGGTATGGAAAGGATGGAATTTTAACCTCTGCTTGCCTGAGAAAAAAAATAAATATGGTTTCCCAGAAAAATCTCTGGTTGTACTTGGTCAAAGTATTCTTTTCTCTTTAAACATTTCATTTCATTTAATAAAATAAAAGAGGGACTTTTTACAGAGACATGCAGTGATAGGACAAGGGGGAACGGTTTTAAACTAAGAGAACAGAGATTTAAATTAGACATTAGGAATTCTTTACTCAGAGGCACTGGAACAGATTGCCCAGAGAAGCTGTGGATGCCCCATCCTTGGAAGTGTTCAAGGCCAGGTTGGATGGGGGTTGGAGCAACCCGGTCTAGTGGAAGGTATCCCTGCCCATGTCAAGGAGTTTGGGAATTATTCCAACCCAAATCCTTCCGTGATTCTATGATTTAGTAAGTGACATGTTATGTGAAGGGTATTACATCTTTATCTTCTTACCAGGACACGTCTACATAGTGCATCTTAAATTTTCCCAATGTGGTATATATGAAATGTTACTAAAACTAAACATTTTGTTTTCCATAATAGAAAACTATATTTATGAAAGAGATGGTATCTGGTGGAAAATTAACCAAATCATGCTGTCAAGGTACAGGTTGTGTGTAATTTCTGAAAACTTCCATTCAACCTGAGCAATGCACATTTTAATACAGCCAAATGCAAGATTATCTGTCAAGAAAGAAAAAAAAAAAGATTGTAGACCATGTTTGCAGGGAATATGGCAATAATATGGTGCTGTACACAATGGGATGAGTAGAAACTTCCAATATGTGAAATAATTGTAGAGAATGTCAAGTGGTAATTATGGTGAGACAGTGGTGTTGCCAAACAATATGTGCATGAAAGCATGTTGCTAAAGAGTGTATCTTTTCATGTTACTAGTTTAGAAGGGCGTGGGAAAATTTTAAGAAGGATAAAAACCAGCTACAGGACTATTTGTATGCATTTTAAACATACTTTTCTATTGAAATTACTAGACAGTGGGATTTAATGAGTTAATCCTTGTGAAGTAGAAAGTTGATATGCTGTCAGAAGTACCTGCCTGGTAAAGAGATTTGCATGGAATAATTATTTGAAAACTAGGCCCACTTATCCTGTGAATAAAGTATTTATGGTAAAAATACAGTACTTTTTTAAAACATAATTTTACAGTTTAGGCACAATTATCTGCATTTATAACCCACAAGGACCTACCAACAAGTATTGCTTCCCTATTGCTTCCTCAAGAAAAATAATCAGTTTCATTGTTTCAGAGTGCAAGTAATATAAGGAATTAATATCTTTTCAGTTTGGGGTTTTTTGTGTTGTTTTTTTTTTTTTTTAACTTTTGCAGTCGAGTATTTTCTCAGTAGTCTTTTACAGCCACAGCTGCTGGGATTGCCGCTCGACTTGAAAGAAATCCCAGCCTGAAACATCAGTCTTTGTAAAGACGAGCGGAGGTTTTGATGGATGGAAGTTGGAAGGAGGGGATTCCTAACGTAGCAGGAACGGGGAAAATGCTGACTCCAGGGAACAGCAGGAGCAAGTGGCTCTTCTAGTAGCGAGTGTTGTGTCAGATGTTTTGCGTTCTGCTTTCGAGAGTAGCATTTCTATGATGATAAATGATTCATATAATTGCTCTAATGTCATTTTTTTGTACTGGAGAAGGCACGGTTTTAATTGGATAGTTTATGCTCCTAAAGAGTGTAACAGCACAGTGAGAGGAGCTCTGCCCTGGGGAAAGGTGATGTGCAGGGGTGGGATGATTTCAATAAGCAGCCCTAGACGCAGATTGTTGATGATTTGATTAAATTTTAAAATAACTTAGTTGTTTTAAATAATCGGTTGTGACTCACTGTTTTGAGTATCACTGTACGAAAGTACTGGTGAAAAATGAGACAAATGTGAATAAACAGAGAAGTAATGAACTCATAAGTTAATTTGTTGCTGCCCATCTTACTTAACCTCTAGCAAGACTAGGGAAGGGGTTCAGGCCCGATTTTCTTATGCCTCAAAATTTCTCCAGAAAGAGCCCTTCAATAGGTTTAGGACCATTTATACCAGGATTAAAAACAACATTCACAGAGTATGTGAGTCAGTCTTTATATCCGTAGATTTATTTTTTCATAAAGCACTTGCTTAAAACTAATATGGAATTTATAAAAATATGAGATTATATTTATAAGTCTTTCAGAAATATAAGCAAATGGGGAGGCCTTTTTACACTGGAGTTAGTTATACTGGAATTAAAGCAGGATTTTGTGGATTAATTAAGAGTGCAGTGCTACAGTGAATCTTTCAAACAATTTAAATGAATGTAGAGCAACTTCTTTTACCTTCTTACCTTCCCCGGCCTCTGCAGAAGGTGGAAGAAAAAATTATGTTTAATTAAAAGGCAAGAAATAAGCAGTAAAGTTGAACAGTTTAGAAAGAAATGTAATTTATGAGGTTGACATCCAATTTTTAAAAAATTCATATGTGCAGTGTTCTATTACTTTTTCCATTCATTGTTTAATTTTGCCTGTTTGGGGATAAGCAGTAGCCATGAGAGAGCTCAGTCTGTGTACTGGGTGGAGAACGTGGTTTCTAGTGCATAATCAGAGGTAACAGTGGCAAGGTATATATGCTTCCAAGTCCAGCTCTGTATATTTTTCCCTCTGTCTCCTTTGCAGTTAGAATTGTATTTATCTTTCTGGCTCCTCTGTAACCTTATCCCAGGTGAAGGAAAGGGAAGGGCTTTTCCTTTTTGGAAAAGTGTAATACCTGTCCTTAGGACTTTATTTAAATTAATGCTGTTTAGTACTTCTCTACTTGACATATTTCACTGATGACATGTCATGTTTTTCGGTATTGCCATTACATCCCTAAGACAGGAAAACAGGTGAATATTTGCTCCTGGGAAATCAAAGCTATAAAAACAGAGCAAGTGGTCAGTTAACCTGAATCTCTTACTGTACCAACATAGCTGTATTTATAAAAACTAAAACTTTTTCACTGTACCTTGATCTTTAGGCAAATCATATTCTC